ATTGTTTGATTCTATTTTACTGCACAAAGAGGGAAAGAATTGGGACTTGTGAATTGTAATTATATTCCACTGAATTGATCCGGGTAAATTGGTGTCCGGTTGTTCCTAGTTTTCCCAACAAAGTGGTATCAGAGCCAGGTTGTGTAGATTGAATTTCTTGTGCAGTTAAAATGAAAAAGGAAGATTCGGGCATGATAAAGCTTACTTCCTCAAATTATTTTTTATGGAAAACAATGATGGAGGATCACTTATATTGCAATGATTTGGCTTTACCGATTGAATGTAAAGGAATAAAGCCTGATGATATGGATGATGTAAAATGGAATGGACTAAATAGAAAGGCTACTGCTAATGTTAGAAAATGGGTATCTTCTAAGTCCATTAATCATATTTCTCAAGAACATGACTGCTATACAGTTTGGAAGATGTTGGAAGAAACATTTGCTAAGGAGAGTGCACAAAACAAGGTTTTTATAATTAGAGACCTTGTGAATTTGAAGTATAGAGATGGTGAAGATGCTTCAGTGCATATAAATGTATTCCAAGGGTTCTTGAATCAGTTGTCATTGATGAATCTGGAGTTAGCTAATGAAATGCAAGCACTAATCCTACTGAGTTCATTGCCGGATAGTTGGGAGACTTTGGTGGTGTCACTTAGCAATTCTACTCCGAATGGGAAGATCACTTTGAAAACAGTGAAGGATTGTATCCTCAATGAAGAGAAGAGGAGGAAAGGCACAAGCACTTCTGAGTCTCATGCACTTGTTACAGAAAGTCGAGGGAGAAGTCCAAACAGGTTCTCTCACAGCAAGCAAGATAGAGAATCCAGCAATAGAAAAGGCAAATGGAAGCCAAGATGAAGATCTCAGTCAAGGAAGGGTTTTAAGTGCTATTATTGTGACAAGCCTGGGCATATGCAAAAGGATTGTAGAAAGTATAAAAGAGATAAAAAGGGTAAAGATGAAGACAAGAATGAAGAGAATGGTACAGCTGCAGTTGTATATGATGGTGATGTTGCCATTGTTTGTGATGATGGTTGTGTTAATCTTGCATGTCAGGATACCACCCGGGTTGCAGATTCAGCAGCTTCTTACCATGTTACACCCCGACGTGATTTTTACACATCCTACACTGCTGGTGACTTTGGTCAAGTTAGGATGGGAAATCAAGGGATGGCTAGTGTTGTGGGCATTGGAGACATTTGGTTGGAAACCAATACTGGGTGCAAGTTGCTACTCAAAGATGTTAGGCATGTGCCTGATATGCGCCTACACTTGATCTCTACAGGTACTCTTGATGAAGAAGGTTATCACAATTACTTTGAAGATGGTAAATGGAAGCTCTCCAGAAATTCCCTGATTGTTGCTAAAGGGAAGAAAATGAGTCTCTACATGTCACAAGCCAAGGTGATCAAAGGGGAGGTGAATGCAATTGAAGATTGCTCTACTGATCTGTGGCATAAGCGGCTTGGACATTTGAGTGAGAAAGGTCTTGGCATTCTTGCCAAGAAGAACTACCTTCCATTAAAAGGTATGAACTTGAACACATGTACTCATTGTTTAGTTGGCAAACAACACAGAGTTGCATTTCAAAGATCACCTTCACATAGAAGATCACATGTTCTTGATTTAGTTCATACTGATGTTTGCTCTATGATTGACAAGTCTCTTGGAGGTGCATTGTACTTTGTTAGTTTTATTGATGATCACTCCAGGAAAATTTGGGCCACTTGTTTGAAATCCAAAGATTAGGTGCTTGATGTCTTTAAGGATTTCCATGCCAGAGTTGAAAGAGAAACTAGTAAAAAGCTCAAATGTGTTCGAGCTGACAATAGTGGTGAATACAGGGGTCCTTTTGAGAAGTACTGCAGGGAACATGGTATCAAGTTGGAGAAGACAGTTCCTAAGACTCCACAGCAAAATGGAGTGGCTGAGAGAATGAACAGAACCATTGTTGAAAGAATTAGATGTATGCTCTCTCATGCAAAGCTGCATAAGTCTTTTTGGGGTGAGGCAATGAAGACTGCAGCTGCAATGATCAACCTTTCTCCATCAGTTCCTCTTGAATTTGATGTTCCAGATAGAGTTTGGAAAGGAAAAGATGTCTCTTATGCACACTTAAGAGTGTTTGGATGCAGGGCATTTGTACATGTTCCTAGAGATGAAAGGTCTAAGCTTGACAGCAAGACAAAGCAATGCATTTTCTTGGGCTCTGAAGATGATGAGTTTGGCTATCGGTTATGGGATCCAAAGGAGAAGAAAATTATGAGAAGCAGAGATGTTATCTTTTTTGAAGATCAAACCATTGAAGACTTTGAACAAAAGGAGAAAACAGAGTCTACTATTTTTATTCCAACTAATTCAAATCCAAGACCTACTCCACAGTTACCTTTAATGCCTGCTAATCATGGGGGAGACTTGCAAAATGATGATGGTGGTGGTTCTCTTATTGAGCCATTAGTTGGTGATCCTGAAGCAACTAATGATGATGTTGATGTTATTCCTGAACAGGTTATGCAGGAAGCTTCAGATGAGCCATAATTGAGAAGGTCAGCTAGACCTCGCCAACCTTCCACTAGATATTCTCCTCATGAGTATGTGTTGGTCACTGATGGGGGAGAGCCAGAATGCTTTGATGAAGCTATGTCACATGAGAAGAAAAGTGAGTGGTTGAAAGCAATGCAAGAAGAGATGAAATCCTTGCATGAAAACCATACCTTTGAGTTAGTGAAGCTTCCTAAAGGTAAGAGAGCACTCAAGAACAAATGGGTGTTCAGGTTGAAAATTGATGAACATTGCTCACAGCCAAGGTACAAGGCAAGATTGGTTGTGAAAGGCTTCAGACAGAAGAAATGTATTGATTTTGAAGAAATCTTTTCACCAGTGGTCAAGATGTCTTCAATCCGAGTTGTGCTTGGCTTAGCTGCTAGTTTGAATCTTGAAGTAGAACAACTTGATGTGAAAACTGTCTTTCTCCATGGTGATTTAGATGAGGAGATCTACATGGAGCAGCCTGAAGGTTTTGAAGCAAAAGGTAAAGAGCAGCTAGTTTGTAAGTTGAAAAAGAGCTTATATGGGTTAAAGCAAGCTCCAAGACAATGGTATAAGAAGTTTGATTCTTTTATGGTGGATCATGGTTATGACAGGACCACTTCTGATCATTGTGTATTTATAAAAAGGTTTCCAGATGGAAACTTTATTATTCTCCTGTTGTATGTGGATGATATGTTGATTGTTGGTCATGATGCTAAGAAGATTCAGATGTTGAAGGAAGAGTTGAGCAAGTCTTTTGCAATGAAAGACTTGGGACCAGCAAAACAGATTCTTGGTATGAAGATCATACGTGACAGGAAGAAGGGGAAACTTTGGCTATCTCAGGAGAGATATGTTCAAAAGGTACTTGAGAGATTCAACATGAGCAACTCCAAACCTGTTTGTTCTTCACTTGCAAGCCACTTTAAACTAAGTTCTAAGCAGTGTCCTTCAAGTGAGGAAGAAAAAGATGAGATGAAAAAGGTTCCTTATGCATCCGCAGTTGGTAGCTTGATGTATGCCATGGTTTGCACAAGGCCGGATATAGCTCATGCAGTTGGTGTGGTTAGTCGGTTCCTCTCCAATCCTGGTAAAGAACACTAGTCAGCAGTGAAATGGATACTCAGGTATCTCAAAGGTACTTCTAGTTTCAGTTTATGTTTTGGTAATGATAAGCCTGTGTTGGATGGATACACAGATGCAGATATGGTTGGTGATGTTGATTCTAGAAAGTCCACATCAGGATACTTGATGAAGTTTGCAGGGGGAGCAGTCTCATGGCAATCAAGGTTGCAAAAATGTGTTGCATTATCCACTACAGAGGCCGAATATATTACTCTTACTGAAGGGGGCAAAGAGTTGTTATGGATGAAGAAGTTCTTGCATGAACTTGGCCTAGTTCAAGAGAACTTTGTATTGCACTGTGATAGTCAAAGTGCAATCCATCTCAGTAAGCATCCTACTTTTCACTCTCGATCAAAGCACATTGAGGTTAGATATCAATGGATTCGAGATGCTATGGAGATGAAGTCATTTGTTGTTGAGAAGATCCATACTGATGACAACGTGTCTGACATGATGACCAAACCTCTACCGAGAGAGAAGTTTGAGTTTTGCAGAAAGGAAGCAGGCTTGTTAGAGCCTCCTAAATTGAATTTTACATATTGATCGCCGGTATGGCGAATTCCTCACATGGTGTGTGAGGGGGAGATTTGTTGTGTATGGTCCCACACCATGTGATGGTGGGACCATCACATTAAATGTCATGTGATGGTTGTCTCTTGGTGTTAATATTAGTGTGGTTCGGGTACTGTAGCAACAGATTTGAAATTAGAAGAGAGGAGAAGAAAATCAAGAGAGAAAAAGAGAAGAAAAGGCAGCAGAGCAGCCTTCATTTTTTCTTCGATTTCCAGCTCGTTCATCGTTGGAGCGGGCTGAGATTTTGACAGAAGCTTCTAGACACGTTGATCTTCATTCTGAACGGTTGGATCGAAGATTAGTGGTGTGGAAGCTGGCTGTTTAGACAGAAAACGGGGCTGTCAGTTTTGTGAGTTTTTCTCAAATAATTCTCCTTTAATCTTGTTGTAATCCGAGAATAAGTTGTTCTTGATGATATATATATTGTATCCCTTAGTTGAATCTGAGGAAGAATGATTGTGAACCCATTATTTGTTGATAGTGGAAGTTTTTAGGTGGACTACGGTCCCGTGGTTTTTCCCGCATCGGGTTTTTCACGTTAAAAATCTTGGTGTTGATTTTGTGATTATTTGCATTATTTTTCATCATTGTTTGATTCTGTTTTACTGCACAAAGAGGGAAAGAATTGGGACTTGTGAATTGTAATTGTATTCCGCTGAATTGATCCGGGTAAATTGATGTCCGGTTGTTCCTAGTTTTCCCAACAGGTGCTAATTATTCAACGAAGTTTTTCGTTTAGATAAAAACACGAATTCGTCCTCATTATCCGATCACAAAGCGGATTCAATAAGTTATGCTGATTGATTTAATTGAGAATCCTTGAATTCCTTCTGTTATACGGATTACTTGGCTATTATATATACGTGCGTCAGGAGTTCTGTATTCACCATTCATTCAAGGCTGCAAACAAAAAAATAAATCGCAGCCATCGCAGCCCCTCAAGGTACTCTCTCATTCAATATCGACTAAATTCCAGTCATGGGTGGTATGAAGAAAATTTTGGTGATTTCTTGCTTGATGATGGCTCTTTGCGGAGTCTCCATGGCGTCTACAGTTTATCAAGTCGGTGACTCTGCTGGTTGGACAAGCATGGGTGGCGTTGATTACCAGGATTGGGCTGCCGATAAGAACTTCCACGCCGGCGATACTCTTGTTTTCAATTATAACATCCAATTCCACAACGTGAAGCAAGTCACGTCGCAAGATTTCGAGACATGCAACGCAACATTCCCTGTAGCCACTTACTCTAGTGGCTCCGATGCAATCAATCTTGAAAGGCTTGGCCATGTCTACTTCATATGTGGTTTCCCTGGTCATTGCCAAGCAGGACAGAAGATCGATATCTTGGTCTCCCCAGTAACTTCAGGTCCGAGTCCAGCTCACTGGCCCTTAAGCTCGCGTAGCAGTGCTTCATCTGATCTTTATTTTAATAAACTGTATTGGACCTTGAGTGTGCCGGTGCTCTGTCTCTCACTGTTTGCTTATTAGGAAGCTTTTCAAGGTGCTTCTGTTAGAGGGATTTTGTAGGCTTAGTGTGGTGCCTTCTCTTTTTCTTACTTTAAATGCCATATAGAGGTGCGATTAAAGGCCATATTCGATGTATTAAATGGCGTTTTCAATAAAAATAACTTTTCCTGGATAATTTTCGTGGCTTCGTAGATTCTCCAGGTGATTTAATTTATGTCAACCTTAGGGTTTGCCATTCTTCATCATTACTAACCGATGTGAGAAATATTTTTGTGTTCAGATTAATAGCCTGAGTAAATCATAGCAAAATCCTATTATATGTTATATTATGGGGTTTTTGGTTAAAAATCATCTTTCACTCCTAAACTGAATTATCTGAGTAAATTACATCGTTTATTAAGCTTTACCGTAGAGACTCTTAAGACAAAACTTGAAGCAGTGTTTGATCACATGGATAGCTTGTGATGAGACAGGGTCGTGCCTAGGGCTAGCAGGCATAGACTATTTGGAAACCGTGGAGGTGCCCAACTTTGTACCGATTGCTTTGAAAATTCGAGCAACTTGTACCATTTTTCTTAATTATTGTAACTCGCCAGGCCACAGTAGAGATGATTTTACAGCTCGAATATCATCGTTGCTAGCTCTGAATTTCAAGCGGTAAATGAAAACAAAGCAAACAGACGTGTACACGGCAGTTTAATTCAAGATTATTGTTCGAATCTGAAGTCGTTGCTATTCTTACAGATGGACTATCTCCGTGCAAAAACGTACAATGATATAATTGATGATTTACAAGTGTACGACGTTTGTAGAGGAAGCACAAGGAATCCATATTTTGATTGCAAACGATGTGACCCCACTCCAAATAGTGCTCCTGTAAACCTAGCTACTAGCAGGGATCCAGCACTCGAGCTGTTTGCCTTTCTGCTAGCCATTCGTTAGGTGTAAAAGTCTAGAATTCCAGCTTCTTCGACAAAATAAACAAAATACCGAAATCGTTACTACTGGGTTTAGATTAATTATATTAAAAAAATGAAGAGATTTATATCTGTTTTTTTTTTATTTTAAATTTTTTTTTAATTTTTTTTATTTACATCAAATTAATATATCAAAAATATTATTTTAATATTTATTTAAGTAAAAAATACATCCTTTAAAAAAACAACTAAAATATGACCATGCTACCAAACAACACACGTGTTTTAATATAAGCGAGCCGGGCTAATGCAGTGGCTTTCCAGCCATTGCATCTCTATCCACTCCTCCCACGTGTCCCACCAGTTACGATCATACTCCTGCTCTGTTTTCTTGGCTTGTCTCGTCAATTGTCATATCAAAAATTAAGGCCGGATTGTACTCCTTTTTTCTTCATGAAATTCAGTTATTTTAAAAAAATACAAAAAAGTAATATTTTTATTATTTTATAAATTTTATTTTTAATATTAATTTATAAAAACAATTTAAAATCATGAAAAAAATAATATAAAACAAGAGAATATATAATTTAACAAAAACAACACTCTCTCGGTGAGCTTTGTTTATTTCATAATGTCTGTTCTCCACGGAGACAATGACCATTGCATTAACCAGCACGACAGCATGATTAGCAAATAAGCACGCCATATACTTCGATTAGAAATGCATCGGTGTAGAGCTAATGCACCAATAGAAAATTTAGCTCCCAAGTCATGCAACAAGGACTGATCTCTAATCTGTAAATGAAGTCATTTATTAGGCTCCATCTAATCTGCACCAACTTTTCAAACGCAAAACTTCTTCTTGTATTTTTATTTTAAGAAATTCCAAACAATTTTGATTTTCAATTTTTTGGGAAATCTTTAAAATGTCGAAACCCTCTGGATTAACTTTGTTTTCTATTTTCAAAAGATTTTTAATTTGATTTTTTAGATCCTAAACTTAACCTAAAATGTCATTCCACGTGGCAAAAGTTAAATAACTTCAAGAAATTCTAATAAAAAATCTATAAAATGTCAAAAAGTTGAGGATGGGACTTTGACTTTAATCCTAATTAGTAATAGTAAATTAATAATTACCAGGCCTAGGAAGACAAAGATAGTATTGTAACAGTGCTAGGAACCGTAATGAACTAGTCATCACTGTTGAAGCGAGAGCCGAGCCGAGATTGTCGCTTCCTTCCCTTGACCCGATTAGTACACCTTCTGTTGCACGTGCAGGGACAGTCCATCCACGTAAACAACTGCACAAGAGTAAACCCATAGCCCTAGAGATTAATCAAAACAAATAAATAAATAAAAAGAAAACAGAACAGGACGTGACTCGTATATAACCCACCTTCACCAGCACGACTCCTATTCACTCCCGGTTTTAACTCTCCACAACTCACAGAGCCCAGAGAGAATAACAAGAGAGAGATAACACACAGTGCTACTCTCCGTCTCCTCCACCTGAAAAGCCAGAGATTTTGATGTAGAGACAGATTGTATTGTGCAGCCATTAATTCCTACATCAACAAAACCTGAGCCCTTTTTTCAAAACACGCGCTTTTATAAAACTTGGGAAACAATCTCTTCCTTGCTTTCATTTCCACACGCAAAAACACAAAGCAAGAGCAGCTGCATTGTAAGCCTGTAAGGCATCGAGAGAGTGCTATTGAAATGGACCTTAGTAAGGCAACGTTAGAGATCTTCTCAAAACTGGAGCAGAAATGGCTCTCGCACTGTGAAACCACCAAGAAAACACGAGTGCTGAGCATTGACGGTGGAGGCACGAATGGCATTGTGGCTAGTTCTGCTCTGATCCACCTTGAGCACCAGATCCGCTTCAAAACCGGAGATCCTCAAGCTCGAATCGCCGATTTCTTTGATATCATTGCTGGCACGGGAATCGGAGCTCTCCTCGCTGCCATGCTATCCGCCGACGATGGTTCCGGCCGCCCACTCTTTACTGCCAGAGACGCCGTCTCATTTGTTGCTGAGAAAAACTCCGGCCTCTTCAAGGTGAAGTGCAGTGGCTTCCTCAGCCGCCGCAGGAGGTGCTCTGCTAGGAGCATGGAGAAAGTATTGAAAGAAGCGTTGAGGAGAGATGACGGTGTGGTTTTGACCTTGAAGGACACGTGCAAGCCCCTCCTTGTTCCCTGCTTTGACCTTAAGAGCTCTGCCCCTTTTGTTTTCTCCCGAGCCGACGCGACCGAATCACCCAGTTTTAACTTCGAGCTCTGGAAAGTATGCCTTGCCACTTCAGCAACTCCAAGCCTCTTCAAGCCGTTTAATTTAACGTCAGTTGACGGCAAAACTTCGTGCTCCGCTATTGACGGAGGTCTAGTGATGAACAATCCAACAGCAGCGGCAGTTACGCACGTGCTCCACAACAAGCGTGATTTCCCTTCTGTTAATGGCGTAGAAGATCTGTTGGTTCTGTCGTTGGGAAACGGAAGTGGATCGCTGAGTGGGAGGAAGCTCCGTCGTAACGGAGAATGTTCCACATCGTCTGTTGTTGACATTGTGCTTGACGGAGTTTCAGAGACTGTTGACCAAATGTTGGGTAACGCATTCTGGTGGAACCGCACCGATTACGTCAGAATTCAGGTATTTGCTTCTTTTGTTTCAATTTCAAGTTCTAGTGATTTCCAGTTTTTATTATGATTCATGCACGATCTTTGTTAACGGCGTTAGATGTGTGCAGGCAAACGGATTGGCCAGCGCGGGGCCGACGGTGGAGGAGGAGGTGCTTAAGGAGAGAGGACTTGAAACGTTACCGTTTGGGGGGAAGCGGTTACTAACGGAGACCAATGCTGAAAGAATTGAGAGCTTTGTGCAACGACTTGTTGCTTCCGGGAAGAGTAGCTTGCCTCCTAGCCCTAGCAAGAATTCCGCTGTTCCTCTTGCTGACGGCAGTTAGATAGTTTTTAAACTCCTCGTGTTTTTGTTTTTTTTAACCATGTTAACCATTAACCAGTCTTGGTTCACTCGACTAGTTAGTTAAATGTCTCTTCTGCCCAATTTAAGATCAGACAATCTTGTTTGATTTCTGTCTCTTTCTGGTAGTTCGAATCAACTGGGAGTTCCTTTGACTAAGGACAAATTAATTAATTGATTTATTACAGAAGATAAATACCATAATTATGAACCACCGCGTCGAAATGAAATTGCAATTGACCTTCCCTTTTATGTTTCAATTGCCAGCGAAAACTTTTGTGGTGAGGCCTCGTAAAATTTGGAGATATTGATGGCTCTAGAGTTTGTTGGCCTGCTTTATTTTTCTTTCTAAATTAGATTTTTTATTTTAATTTTAATATTAGTAATCATTGAAATATATTTAAAAAAATCACACAAAAATAAAATAATCTCCCTCGTAAACACACCCGTAAACAAAAACATAAAAGAGAAAGAAAATATGGATTGTCATGTGTCAGTGAACAGCTAGAAAAAAAAACCAAGTGGTCCGAACAATTTTTTACTTTGTTTTGCTAAGAATCTACAGTCAAGAAAACAATTTCGAAATTGTCGGTAGAGGTTTCTCTTTTTTCAAGTGTAAATCATTTTACTTTTCGTTTTTCAGACAACCGGGAGCGTTTATGCAAGTTATCGAGCAGCCAATAACTTGGGTAATTGTTAGAAATATTTTTCGAGCATTCGTTCAGCACTGAGAAAATTTGGGCTGTCCCAGCAACCCTAGATATATTTCTTACTATTGAATCAAATTCCATTGTTACATGTTGGAAAGACACCATATATTGTCAGAGCAAATGTAACTTTGCAAATCCCAATCCCAATCACCGAAAGCAAGTAATTTTTTTAAGAAAAGAACAGGATTTTTCTAGTTTGTTCATCGCTTTGCAGTCTTGTCTATAGTGTATATTCCGCTGCTCTTTGTTTGTTTTACCCTCTGTCATCCAATTTCGGTAGGTAAGGTGGTGGGTGAGAAGTAAAGAACATTGCTCTTTCGCCAGTGCTGGGCACGAGACAGACACTACTCGCTATTTGCTTGGTTTGATTAAAAAAAACCCAAGCATGCACTATTTTTACTCTCTGAATCTTTTTTTGTCCT